AGCCCCGGAGGGGACTAAATGTCTTTCTATTTGGTGCCAAAATTACCAAATTAACAATATATATATATATATATATATATATATATATATATAATTTTTTTATAGGTAGATATTATCATCTTCAATAATATTAAGATTAGTATGGTGAAAGATTTGTTAATTTTAGCTCCTAAATTCAAATTTATTGAAAGGTCACCCATTTTAGTCAAGAATGCTTAACCCCAAATATCGTAAAGCTTTTAATCGATTAAAAAAGAAGTGCACTATTAATATATTTTTCCTTTATAATTAACTTATTTCTCAAAGTATTACTTGTTTGCTACTTACATCTTAAAACTTCAATACTTATTCTCTTTGATTATCAAAGAGGATAAACATAAGCTAGGAAGGGATAGTTGCTCATCACCTCTTAGATTAGGTTATTTCCCTCCATCTTCTCTTGCTACTAAGCTCGTAGTACAACTATAATTACAATTTGACAACTTTTTGTTTTCATTCCTAGCTAAAGAACAGTATAAACTTAGAGTGAGTTGCTTAGGATCTTCCCCAAGGTTGGAATACCCAGGACATATTGCTAAAACAATTTGATTAGCCTTCATGCTATGCTAGGAATGTAGAGTGCACTAAAGCTTAAAACAAATACTTAATAGAAGTGTTAAACTCATGTTTAAAAATAATTTAGTAGTGTTGTTCTTGCCTGGAGAAAGAGAGAGAAGATGCCTAAATGTGTACACTTCTATACCTTTACGTTCGACAGGAATGCAGCTGTGAGAAAATAAATAGAATCTTTTTCCTTCCAACGCCAAAAAAAAAAGGACACCAGCTATACACACTGGTTACTCGTTCTCATCATCCCGAGTGATGCGATTTTGCTGAATAATCTGTGTCGGAATCGATCGAGAAGCGGTCGAGCAGTCCAGCTTTTCCTTCTTAGAGAAGCGGTCGAGCAGCCAGTCCAGCGTTTCCTTCTTAGCCAATCTCCGCTTCCTGACTTCCATCCAGAAACCCGCCCTTCATCCAGTCCCGAGGAGAATCGGCCGGAGCGCACTCGTTTAGATCAAAGAACCGTAGCTGCTTTCCCCTTTCATCCTCGTCCTCTTCCCCATCACCGTTTACGTGACTCCAGCCACCTTGTGTGTTTTCCTCCTCGTCTTCACCATCATCACCTTCTTCTTTATCTTCTTCTTTTGTATCATCTTGTTCTCCGTCCTCTCCCACCTCTGCCTGTTTTTGTCCCGTTTCTTCGTCTCCTATAACTTGGTTTCCTGTATCCGAAGTTCCACCACTGCTGTGCAGAGAACCAGCGGATTCCATGCTGTAATCTGCGTCGTCTATGCTACTCGGGCTTGCTTTAAGTTCCCCATTTCCTCCCGCTGCTTTCTTGGCGGTATAAGCTTGTTCTTCTTCTTCGTCTTCCTCGTCTTCCTCCTCTTCACTGTGCTCATAAGCGTTGTAGTTCACCTTGCTTCTCGTGGCTCGTTTGCTTCGCCGCAGGCCAGTGTCTGCCACCCGTTTTGGTCTCCTCGCACGTCGCATCGATCTAACCAAGAATTCTTGCTTCTCCTCTTGCTGTTCCAGCTCCTCCTCTTCCTCGCTATAACTAACTGCTACATCGTCGTCGTCGTCGTCGTCTACGTCTTCATGGTCATCGCCTCTGTATTCCTCGTCCTCTACAGAGCTTGTGTCACCTCTTTTCCGTTTTCGTTCTCTGCGCCGTACAAAATCGTCGTCGTAAATGGCTTCTCCCTCAATCTCGTCATCACTATATAAATCATCCTCCTCCGTGTAAGCAGCGTCCACGTAGTCTTTACCACAGTAACGTTGAGATCTACGTCGTTGCCGGCTCCTAGAATCAGCAATTGTTATCTTCTACTTAAAGCCAGTATGAAAGATACCTCGGTTTAATCTTCTTTCGAAATGAAGTTCCAGCATCGTCTGAGGCTGCGGAATCATTCGAGGTTGCTGGCTCCTCCGAAAGCTCACGATAATTGTCGTCTTCACGAGGATCGAAGGGGGCGTGATTGTTCGAGAGATCACAGGGGCTAAGTCCCGTTTGATCACCATCATTTACTCGTTCTTTGCGTACGCGTTTCTCCGGATGACTCCCATGACCGTTTGCTACAGTTGAATGGCCATTTGCCAACTCTGCAGCTCGTTCGGGCTTCCTGCAAGGTGTTTGGAAGCTGAAGTGTAGTGAAACAGTATCGCGTAGGTACCTTGTAGATTTGATTGCCTCGTTGATAGATCGATCATATTCAGCTGCACGCAGACATGAAAAAGATAAGAGTAATATAAAAAAGAACTAAGGATGTCGTACGAAATGTGTAGTTGACGGGTTTACGATCGCGCTTAGCCCGGCCACTGTCTAGATTATGTTCAAGCGTGGTCACCAGTAATTTTGCCTGTCTTTGTTTTCGTTTCAAGTCCCTGACCTTCTTCTGCAAAATAAGAACCATAGGCTGAACATAACATTGCGAATAAGTTTTGCACCTTCTCAACGGCCTCTAAAACGGGTAGGATGTCTTGTTTTAGTCTTTTTCCTAGACCGATTTCTTGCTTGAACTTGCTAGACAAAAGCGTGTCCTGCATTTGAAAATGAATTAGTCCTGTCTCATGAGTTGTAGAAAGACATACAGCAACCGACTGAAATTCATCGAAGTTGCTTGCCAATGTTTCCCACTGACCGGGAGGAGGAGGCGACGCGGTGCGTCCTTTGAACTCCTTTCCCTTGGGTGTTGGTATATCTCTGTAAAGTCTATAACCTGATATTGGATTGTTTTCGCACCTAGCGATCAAGAGTCAGCCAACAAACAAACAGAAAAGATATAGCCGTCAAATACCAGTACGTAGTTCCAAGTAAGTTTGAGCCTGCGCGCTCCTTACGAAAGAGGGACAAGTATCCCTTCTTCACAGGCTCTTCCATATGCGCCCGAACATCATCTTGCTGCACATGTAAAATAAGTCTGCCTGGAAATACTAGAAACAGCATTACGTACGTCAAGACGAACTTCACACAATGCTCTTAAGATGATCAATCTTGTTGATGGATCAAATCCGCTATAAGTTTCAGCCTCGCTCCTGAAGTTAACGCTATCAGACAGGTATGAAATCTATAGTAAGACTCACCCATGGGATTCCGCAAGAGGGAATGGAGGCTCGGCTACCTGTTTAGCCAGCGGTTACCAAAGAGAGCTGTAAAACGTATTAGAGCGTGTGTTACCTTCGACCACCTGTCCTTGAGCTTCTTGTATAGAACTGTGACCCAGCTATCGCGATTTAGAGGAACCCGAGAAGGAGGGTGGATTCCCTGCGAGCTGAAAGTAAGAAAGCTAGAAACTCAGCTTGTTTCTAGACATTACCTTGAGCAGCGCAGTGTGGATGTCCATGAGTAGATCGTTGCACGTAAGGAGAGCGGTCTCCAGTTCCTCGGCCGAGAACTCTACCAGTTTCAAAATTGGTCGAAAGGTCTGAATTGAAACAAGCCATGGTCATACAAACAAAAAAAGAAGAACTTACATTGAAGAAGTTGATGATCGACGCAAGCTCCCACATACGCCTTAGCTCGTGAAGATCCTTCTGCTCCGGCACTAACGAGAGTGGATTGGAGAAGACGAGCGGGGCCGGCTGATCGTCTTGCTTCTTGAGCTGTGGAGGTGGCCGCTCTACCGCGGGAGCCAATGGAGCTAGCCTCGAGGGCGTTCTCGCCGTGCAAGCTCGCGTCGGCCGCTTCCTCGTCTCGGACATTGCCCAAAGATCCCTCTCGGACGGACTGATCCTCCAAATTCCCTCGAAAAGAAAGAGACCCTAGGCTAAGAAAGCCTATCTATCCTTGGAGAACCTAACGAGGAGAGGAGCTCTCTCATCGCTTCCTCGCCACGCTTCTAAGATCACCCGGTGTCCTGCTCGGGCTGTAGCCATCCGGCAGCCAGAAATTTCGACATTGCCCTGTGCGCGCTGCCCGATTGCTGCCAAGGAAGCGTAAACCCTGCTCTTTCTCGGACTATTTCCCGACTATTCCTCGAAATCTAAGCAAGAATCCGGCCCCTGCGCGAGAAATGGCCGCGCAAGACTTCATCCCGGCGGCCGGCGCTCCAAATATCTGGGAAGAAAGAGCTGAATTCTTCACAGCCGCTGCTTAGCTCCCTCCCAGGATCAATCTAGCAAAAGCTTGCGCGCGCTGCTCGGATCATCAGCCAGCGCTGCGACAACACCGCGAGAAAATCTCCAAAACGCGAGCAAGCGCTTCCCTGCTCGCCAGGCGCTCCGTGTTCTTCTCTTCCTCGAGACAAAAAAGAACGAGAGAAAAATATCAATTAAAACTTAAGCAACGGGTATAAACGTGCCACGTGGATCTCGATCGGACGGATGTGGCAAGGGTAAAAAGCCATGGCATTTTTAGGGTTTGTGGTGAATTTAGGGCTTGTCGCAGCTCAGTCTCCTCTCCCCATTTTCGATCGCATCGCAGCTAGGTGATGCCGATCGACTAGGCGCATCGAGGGATTCCTTTCATGTCGATCTTGCTGGAGTCGCGGAGCCAGAGCCGGGAGAGTGAATCGCGCGAGGGAGGGGGAGGAGGGATCGTCCAGCAGCCAGGCTCGTTCTACAATGGCAATCCATCGTCTTCGATCTGGGGGAGGAGCGGTAGCTTGTTCTGGAAGAATGCTGGCTTGTTACACAAGGTAGCGGAGGCGGCGTCTCCCTTCGATTTTGGGTTTCCGTCTCAAGTCAGTGTTCCACCGCCTCCGGTGGAGACCCTCGACTCGGAGACGTCGAAGGATCGTCCCGAGGTATTTGTTTTCGGATCGATTGCTAACGCCGGGAGCACTGGCAGCAGTCCTGGAAGTGGTGATCGCAATGACGATTGCGTCCCTGCTGGCTCCGGGATCGCGAATCACGGTGAGAAACCCAGAGAGAGTCTGGAGTCTATGCTTCACGAACTACACATTGATCCAGCAGCTCCTCCAACTTTTCCAGTGGATCAGCAGCAATTCTCTCCAGTTCCTCCAAGTTTTCCTTCCCCGAGTTTTCCATCCATGGATCAACAGCAGTTCTCTCCAGCTCGAGAAGATAAGGAATCTTCCAAGCCGACAACATTCACTGTTGGTATACCGACTTCTCATCACCAAACTGGAAATCCTCGCCCTCGGTTCTCAAAGCTGCGCAAGAGCACTCATCCAGCCAAAGGTAAAGGTGTTGCTCGCGGCGAGGGGATCGAAAGACCATATCAAGCCTTTACTTTCGATTCGCGTGCTGCTAGTCCCGACGCTGCTAACTTTCAAACGGGGGAACCATCAATCACAGTTGAGGAGCCTGCAGTGGTGGATTCCAAGCTAGAAAACGAGTTGGACAAGGATGGAAGCTCGGCACAGGGTCATGGTAGCCCGAGAGTTGAAGCGCGGGAAGAGGATGCTGGTCAAGAGATCCCGTCGTCCAGCACTTTCGTTTTCACGTCCATGCGAAACGCAGTTCCAGTGGTTCCTGAGCGTGGAGACTCGGCAAAGGACGCCCATTCTTTAGTAGCGGACCTCACTGCCTTGAAAATGGGAGAAAAGGGGTCTGGCGACTCGGTTCCAAGCTCAAATCCTCCACCTTCGTTCGTCTTCGGCGCTAGTTCGGCTCAGGCTCAGGCCCATCCAAAAGTTGACGAAAGCAAACCTCTGACTTCGGGCGGGACTTTTGTCTTTGGATCTTCCGGAGGAGTAACCCCCAGCATCAGGAGAAAGAAGGGAGTTCGAAAGCTTTCTAGCAGGGGAGTTCGTTCCTCAAGCACGTCCGCTACAGATGAGCAAGGCTCGCCTATGGATTTTTCGCCATGTCCTGACACTGGAGCTCGCCTGTCACCACAAATGACAGGGAACAACAGTGAAGCTGAGGAACATGATCAAGCATGGAATTCTCAGTTCCAGTTTTACTCGTCTGAGGAGGTGGATAACTTGAGCAATGCGGCTGCTGATCTCACTCTTGGAAACCAGTCGGATGAGTCGAAAGAAACCAATGTCCCCAAGACTTTTGCTTTCACAGCAAGCTCGCCTACGGCTCCAGCTAGAAGACGACCTCGCCGAACACCCAAGCCTGCTGGTTTCAGAAGCAAAGGTGGTGTGACTCGATCAACGTCAAGGCTTGAAGTTCATGGAATGGATCTTGACACCGCGAAGATTGAAAGTGATGGCTGGAAACAGGCGGCTGGACAGAACGCGGATTCCACAATGCCGTCTGCTACTCCTGCCAACCGTGCTGCAGTTGAACAAGCTTGCGAGAAATGGAGACTAAGGTACGTTTTACTTTGAAAGTTCTAGTGTGCAGTATCTTACTGGAGTGCCTGCACAGGGGAAATGAAGCTTACGCGAGCGGGGACTTTCCAAAAGCTGAGGAATATTACTCGCTTGGCATCAATAGCGTTCTTCCGAGCGAGACGTCGCAGAGTTGCATTCGCTCCTCAATGCTGTGCTACAGCAACCGAGCTGCAACGCGAATGGTCGTCGGTAGGATGAGGGAGGCGTTAGGAGATTGCTTGCGAGCAATCGCCGTGGATCCCAATTTTCTTCGCGTTAGGATACGTGCCGGCAGGTTCGTTTGCTTGTGTCCCTTTCTTTCGTTTCCGGTTTTTCTAACTCCACGCAGTTGCCATCTTTCTCTGGGAGAACCGGAGGCCGCGCTTGCGTTTTTCCAAGATTGTCTAAACCGTGCAAGAGATTCTGATGGTGGTGACTCGAAAATTGCGCTGGAGGCGTCGGAGGGTCTTAGGAAAACTCAAGTAAGCTTTATTATGGATGTTACTGGAAAGCTTTCTGATGCGTTTTTTCTTGCGTAGCAAACGGACGAGTACTTTCAACGGGCATGGGAATTGTTGGCAGCCAACGACCATACGGCCACATTGAGAATTTTGAACGAGGCGCTTCTTATCTGTCCATACTCCGAGATTTTTCTTGAATTGAAAGCTCGTTCACTTCTGGGTGTAAGTACTTTTTGTTCTTCTTTCTCTCCGTTCAGCCGAATAAGCGTTTGCAACAATTGCAGCTTCGGATGTACAGCGACGTCATCCAATTGTGCGAGCAAACTTTAGTGTCAGCGGAGCGCAACTGGACTCAATCCCAACAGTCTCAAATTGTTCGTGGATTCCGGCCTGGGTCGTCGCCTAAAATCTGGCGTTCTTGGGCAACTTCCAAGGCTTTGTTTTACGTAGGACGGCTGAAAGAATCGCTTGAGTGCTTACAGAAACTCGGAGATTTTTTAGCGCTTTCTGGAGATGAAAGGTATGCAATTTCTTTTTCTTTCAGACAAGTTTTAATTGGCCTTCTATTTCAGAATAAGTCACATACAAGAGGCGGATTTAGAGACGCTGTCACAGTTTATTGGCCTTGTCCAGCAGCTCTTACAGTATAAGGTAGGCAAGATTTGTAGCTTTCGAGATTTCGTCGTTTATAATCTTTTCTCCTCCTCAGACGGCTGGGAACGAAGCATTCCAAGCAGGAAGACACACTGAGGCTGTTGAACACTATACAGCTGCTTTGGCCTGTAACAGCGAGGCTCGACCTTTCAATGCGGTTCTATTTTGTAATCGCGCTGCTGCTTCTCAAGCGTTGGGTCACATTGCTGATGCAATTGCGGACTCTAGCCGTGCAGTAGCCTTGGATCCAAAATACGTGAAGGTTCGTCATGTGAAGCTTCCTTTCCATTTTAACGAGCTTGTGCTGATGCAGGCTATATCAAGGCGAGTAACGCTGCATACTTTGATTCGGGACTATGGCCAGGCGTGTAGCGACTTGCGGAGGCTGATTTCTCTTTTAGAAACGGAGAGTTCTCACCAAGAATTTAAGCAGGCGCGCGAGCGACTCGCAAGTGCCGAGGAAGATTTGAAGAAGAGTCACCCAGTCGATCACTATTTGATTCTGTAAGTGGCTTTTTCATTCTCTTAGAAGCAAAGAAGCTTTCATTCACTAACCGAGCAAACGGTTTTGCAGGGGATTAGAATCTTCTTGCACGGCGGCTGAGGTAAAGAAAGCGTATAGAAAGCTGGCCTTGCGGCATCATCCTGATAAGGTGAGTTACCATGCTTGACGAGCCGCGGATAACGTTGTATCGTTTCACAGGCAGGACAATTTGTTGTGCGCACTGATGGAGGCGAGGATGGAAAGGACGTGGGCGAAGAAATTCGAAATGACGCTGAGCGCTTGTTCAAGCTGATTGGAGAGGCCTACGCCATCCTTTCAGATCCCGCCAAGGTAAAGTTTTCGTCCATTTCATCGTTCTTCTCTTTGTAGTTCTTGACGGTCAAGTTGGTCTCTCGCAGAGAGCACGCTACGATGCCGATGAAGATTTGAGAAAGCTGAGAAATCGCGGAGCGACCAACAATCCAAGCTCTGAGAACCATCGCTACGATCGAACGCATAGACGGCAGAGAGATCGATGGGATGCGTGGTGTGGCTACGCGCATCAGTACCAGCGGTGGCAAAATGGCCCCGACGCCGCGCAGCCCGACACTTACGCGCGTCAAAGCCGATACACCAATGGGGGGAGATCAGCTGAATTCAGTTGGGACGATCTCTAGGATTAGGGCTACTCTCTTTGAATTTGGGCCGTCGGATCAAACTCATGTGGGCCGTTGGCATTGGATTGAATTGGTTGAATTGCAGCCGTCGATTGAAACTTCTTGGTTTAGGGTTTTTGACGACTATGGACGATGCGCTCTCCTTCACGGAGGACGACAGAGATGTATAGGGTGGATTCTCTTCTTGATCGCATTTTTGAGGTTTCTTGTGTCGCAGAACCTCGTTTTGATCGTGAAGAGCGCGCATCAGCTCAAAATCTGTGGATCGAAGGGGGAATGGACGGATTTCCTGGCGGCCAGAGGTCTTTCCCGCGCGGTGAGCGATCCTGAGCGGCACAAATGGCAGGTTTTGGCTGAGTTTGTGCGAACATTTGACAATGAGGTAGGAATTTTGTCTTCTTAGATTCTGTGCCATTGACGAGCTTTCTCCGTAGATGGTGAAGCGTTTGAAGCGCTGGAGGAAGCGGCTAGCGATCATTAAGCTAGTAGAGGCTAGTGATCCTTGGTCGAAAACTCCCGAGCAGGTGCTTAGTGAATCAAAGCTCTTCCTTACAAATTTTTCCACCTCTTGCCAGAACAGTGCTTGGTGGATCGGACATATGAACATCCTCTCTTCTTCACGTCATACCACTTTCCATCCTTTCTCCCGGTATTTCTTTCAACACTCGCGAAGTGTTTCTCAGTTTTTCTTCTCGCAGGGATGGAAATGCACGAAAAGGGGATCGTCCTCGGATGCTAGCTATCCTGAAAGGCTACTTTCCCTCGACTGTGAGATGGTAATGTGCGAAGGCTATGAGCAGCAAGTCGTGCAAGTATGCATTGTGGATCGAAACAACAAGGTGCGCTTTGCTGGTTTTTTCTCCATTTCAAGACACTAAGCTGGAAGGCTTTAGACAGTGCTTGATACATTGGTAAAGCCAAGTAAGAAAGTCATTGACTACATAACTCACATTCATGGATTGGAGAAAAAAGATATAGCACAAGCAACATGCACTCAAGAGGAAATTCAGGTAATTTGCTTACACACCATAGCGTTACTACTGTCATCTCTATTTATCAGAAAGAGGTGGCTAAGCTTCTAGAACCTGGAACTATTTTGGTTGGTCATAGCGTATTTTATGATCTAAAAGGTATTTTTTTTATTTGCAGTAACTTCAACAAGGCCTCATGTTCGTTACTTTCAGCTCTAAAAATTGATCATAGGAGAGTCATTGACACGTCCATGCTTTTCAGGCTCAAGGGCTTGGCTATGATTAGTTTGCAAAATCTCTGCAAGGTATATCATTGTTACGAAATTAGAGCTGACTTTGCTTTGTTTGAAGGCCGTACTGGGTTACGATTTCCGGGAAACTGGCACTCACAAGTGTATCGACGATGCAATCGTTCCTATGAAGCTTATTCTGCACCAACTGGAACATGGAACCATCGACGTTAAAGTATGTTCGCGAGCTGAAGAGATTTATTCTGACTCGTGATTACAGATAAATTTCCCAAGCTCGGATCCATGTCGACTTCTCATCCACAAGATGTCGCACCGACTGATACCTGACGAGCTCAGAAGAATAGTGGCGGGTACCATTCCCTGTACAATCGAGGTAAGCCTTTGAAGCTTTTCTCGAGAGTATGGTTTCCAATGCGAGTTTTGTCGATGATAGAAAGTGGAAGGCAAGAAAGGCCAGATGCACGTTGTGTTTGAATCCAAACTTCTCGCAAACAGAGCGTTCGAGCTGCTATCTGGCGAAGCTGGACAGGTATCTCTCAGTTTCTCGGTTTCGCGACTCAAACTTACGTTTTCTTGACAGGATTCTGGCGGCTTCGAGCAAAAGTCTGTTACGCAATGGAGGAAAGGCCTGTACCTCCAGCTCCGCGTAAGAAAGTTAGCGCACAGCTCCGAAGAGGATCATCCTTCGATCACTCCAAAAAAGAGAGAGCTGGAAACGACTGCGGTGGAATCGAAGCGATTGAAACAGCAGCCGGATCGAATCGACAGTAGAGCCGAAGTTGCGAGATTGACGAGGCACAAACAAAGGCCAGAGAAGAAGTAGAAAAGTGGAAGCTTGGAATGACTTTAAAAGTTTGTACTTGGAAGGGGGAGTATCTTCTCCCCCAAAACGCTTATGGATTTGTGTTCTAGGGTTCCAGCGCCCGCGTCCTCCAGGCCGCTGTGTGCGTACGACATTCCATCGCGGCTCGGCGGCAGGAGCTCCAATCTCGCGGCGGAATGGCGGATTCGCAAAAATGCGGTGCTCACGACGAAGATTTCTCGCAGGTTTTGGTTTTGGCTGGGCGTTCCTCCCTTCGCATTTTTTGATCGTGTTCTAGATTCCAGGAGGATGCGATCGACGTGTTCTTACGCGTCGGGAAGCAAGTACTCGGAACCGATCGATGTGGTCGCTAAGGTCCGCACAGAGAAGGTTTGCGTTTTTCTGTCGGAGTGAAATTTTTTACTAGAATGCTGATTGTTCTTCGTTGTTCTTCGCAGGTGGTGGTCCTTGGAGGCAGCGGTTTTGTGGGATCATCGGTGTGTAAGGCCGCGATTGCGCAAGGAATCGATGTAACGAGCCTTAGCCGGTTAGTGCTGGACCGAAAGAAATTTCTATGCTCGTTTTGGTGGTGATCTTTCTTCCTTTTCTTTTTTCCAGGTCTGGAAAACCTTCATACCCAGACCCATGGGTGGATCAAGTTCTCTGGGTCTCAGGTAATGTTCTACTGCTATGAGATGTTTCTCTATCGTGTTACCAGGATGTTTTTCCATAGGAGAACTTCTAGATGTTTCGCTATCTTACGAGAAAGTCTCTCTGTAGGAAATGTGTTCTACGCGGACTGGAATTCTCTGCTCAAAGGTGCAACCGCGGTGATATCCACGATCGGAGGCTTCGGAACGAACGAAGAAATGGAGAAGATCAATGGAGAAGCTAACATAATCGCCGTTGGTGAAGCATGCAAAGCTGGTAAGTGATCCGAGGCATGCTGTGGTTTTAGTTTTTGAGATTTCGAAGCTCGCAGGCATACCGAAGTTCGTCTACGTTTCGGTTCACGACTACAATCTTCCGTTCTTCGTGTTGAATTCGCTTGGATACTTCACTGGGAAGAGGAAGGCGGAAGCGGAGGTCTTGTCCAAGTTTCCAGGCTCGGGTAAACGTTTCATAAGTTTCTCATCACAAGTGCCTTGATGGTTCTGGCAGGCACTGTTCTTCGACCTGGTTTCATTTACGGCAAGAGACGGATAAATGGAGTCGACGTTCCGCTCGACATCATCGGCAAGCCTTTGGATAAGTTCCTCACCTCGGCTGAGAATTTCATCAGTCCTCTCAAGTCCATCCCTGGCTCGGATGTGCTTCTCAGCGCTCCCGTTAGCGTTGAAGACGTTGCTGGAGCTGCAGTGAAAGCTGTTCTGGACGATTCCATCTTCGGGGTGTTGACGATCGAGCAGATCAAGGAAGCGGCATCCTCTTTGAAGTCAGCGGTACCTTTGTAGCAGTCAAGCCTACGAAGACGCTTGAGCCTTTGAGGTTTGGCTCCTTCTTTACAAGGCTTTTGTTGTTCTAAGGATGTTTCTTTCGTTTTTGTAGTGTTCATATCTTGAAGAGCGATGTACACTTCTCAAAACTTATAAACGAAAGATGCGCTTATGTTTACCTCTTTAGAGTGAGTTACTATGCTACGTTCGATTTGCTTCAACCGTAGCGGTGTTCCATCATCCCGCTCAACCTGGTCTCATGAATTTTTCTAAGAGATTTTGCTTAAGAAAGTCCTGCCAGATCCTTTGTGACAAGCAAAAATATTGCAAATCTAGCTCCCATTTCTCTGGAGCGGCAGCGATCAAAACACCAACGTCGAGCACGAGCAGCATCACGACTCGAGAGCGTGCACAACTCCCAGCCACCATAGCAGCTCGACTTACTCGGTTTGATCCAGTAGACTTTGGGATGGCGATCAAGTTTTGGAAGAAGGGATCGATGCTCCTGGAAGTGGAGATCACTTGTGAGAAGTCCAGCATCGTTTACACGGTTCTCGATTTCTTGAAGGTTTTGAATGGCGATATCAATCACACGAAAAGCATGAAAAACTGGTTAGCAATTATGCCATGGTTCTGGTTTCCTATTTTTGTGTTCTCATGGTTCCACCTTTAATCGCTTGGAACATCCAAACTCATCCAAGCTCAGCAGGAAGATTGGCTCGACGCTTTCTAGTTCTTTGTTCATTCATGGAGCCTATTGAAGTGTTTTTCAGAGTCCCTTTCCCTTGAGGACGAAGCGTGATGTTACCGACGTAATCGTCTCTGTGTTTACGATGTCGTTGTGGTTTACTTCGCGATGGATCCACATCAACCGAAGCAGTGCTCCAGGTATCCATCTTTATGGTCCTTGTCTCATGCTTGAAGACGAGCTGGAATAACTTTTCAATGGAAGCTTGGAAGGAACTCGAACTCGGCAGAACTTCTTAAGCCCGATCCTCTCTTACTTCCAAGGCGTATTTAGTCGTCGCAACACATGGACTACAGTTGTAAAGAGGTATCCAGCAAGAATTGCTTTCTAAGTTGGCAGGCTGACAATCGATCGCAGCGACAAGAACTAGAACTCGAAAGCACAAGGAATGCGTTCATGTGCTACTGACCAACAAAGCTAAGCTACTGTTTCTTCTGCCTCGTCTTGAGCCCCAGCACGAGGCAGCACAGGCAGCGGTACGCAATCGCAAAGCCGATCATGACACCAACGTCGAGCCACTTGCTGTCGTTCTCGAGAGCAGCCTGGACGAGCACGTCGCGACCCGAGAGCGTGCACTTTCCAGCCACCATCTCTCCGTAGCAGCTCGACTTGTTCGGTGGCGACGAGTATTCGTTGATGAGCAGCGCATCCAGAGGGTACTTGAACAGCGAGATGTAGTGCATGAAGATCCAGTACTCCGGGATGCTGTCCTTGGCGATGAAGTATCCAGAGAAGAGGAAGAAGGCCCCGATGCTGCCGGAGATGAGGGAGTAGCCCATGATGAAGTTCGGGACGAGAGCGCTGAAGAAGGCGACGAAGGAGTTGGCCATGACGACAATGAGCCACACAACGAGCACGAAGAAGAGATAGGACGAGATGCACGGGTTCAGTCCGACCAGCCAGTACGTTGGAGCCGAGTAGAGCAAGGAGCAGACGAGCAGGAACGGGAGGAAGACGAGAGTGTTGGAGATCACGTACGAGGAGACTCGATACGCGCCTCGGGACGTCTCTCTCATGAGGATCTGCTTCTCCTGGAGATAGAGCGGAAGCGCCTCGGTGGTCGAAGACAGCAGGAACGTGAGAGTGAACGCGAAGAAGCCGTAGCGTTCCTGGATTCCTCCCTTGTTGTGGGACAGTCGCAAGAAGATCGAGCCAAGCCCGAGACCGGCCACCGCAGCCTGGAGCGTCCGTGCCGCGAAGAGCTGCCTCGTCCGGATGATGTTCTTGCTGAAGCGGTTGGACAGAACCATGATCTCCTGGAACCGAGAGTTCGCGTAGTCGAGGTGCGTCTCCTCGGGGCCCGGAGAGTTTACGTCGGACACCTCGGAGGTGACTTCGTCCAGCGCCATTTCGACGTCACCGCCATCGCCAGCAGCGGCGGCGGCAGCAGCAGCAGCACTAGCAGCGGCAGCAGGATCATGATCTCCATTCAGCTGGCCGGACATAAGGAACAGGTCCTGGAGCGATCCTTGGAGGCCAACTTTACTCCTCGTCGTTCCCAGAGTTGTGCTTCCGATAATGCCACTCTTCTCGGCTTCGAACAGGTCGATGGTGTCGATGGCATACTCGAGAACGTTCACTTGCTGGGGGATCCGGTGGCCGGCCTCCTGGAGCCTGGTCGCGAGCAGGCCGATAGAACCATGGTGGATGACGGCTCCGTTCGCTAGCAGCAGGATGTTGTGGATCAGCTGGAGGATCCGGAAACCAGGCTGGTGGATGCTGAGAATTATTGTCCGGCCGTGTGACTCCGCCATGTTGTTGAGCATCCCGATAACTTGGAGCGCTCCAGCACTGTCCAGTCCGGATGTTGGCTCGTCCAGGAGAAGAACAGCCGGGTCGTGGATCACGTCAACTCCGATGGAAACTCGCCGCCGCTCGCCACCCGACACGCCCCGGACGTTCTCGTTGCCGATCCGCGAGCCGGCTACGTGGAGGAGCCCGAGCTCTCCCATGAGAGCTTCAACTCGGGCCGCCTTCTCGGCCTTGGGGAGCGACGAAGGCAGCCGGAGTTGAGCACTGAAGAGCAGCGTCTCGTGGACCGTGAGCAGTGGAAACAGCGCGTCGTGCTGCATGACGTAGCCGGAGACGCGCCGGAAGTGCTCGAAGTCGATCGGCTGGTTGTTGACGAGAATGCTGCTGTTCTTGGGGCTGACGGTGCTCACGGACGAAGATGGTCCGTGACTTGGGTGAATTCTCCCGGCGAGAACCTCGAGCAATGTGGATTTGCCGGCTCCACTGGGTCCTGCTACTGCTAGAATCTCTCCGGGCCTAGCTACGCAGCTAACGTTCCTAAGAATGTACCTGGCCTGGTGGTGGTGGTGGCGACGGTGGTGGTGGTGGTGGTGATGGTGGCGTTGGAAGAATCGAGCTCCAGGGAAGCAGCCGCTCCGGTCGGTCCGCTTGATGATCTTGTAGTAAAGGTTCCGGACCTCGATCTCGTAAGTCCGGAGGCGGGGGGACTTGTAAGGCGAGTCCATGGCGACCTGGGAAGCTTTGATGATCACTCCATTGGGGACGACAGAGGAGAGGCGAGATATCTTGTGGACGTCGTCGACTGCATTCTCATTTGTAGCAGCAGTGGCAGTGGCAGTAGCAGCAGCAGCAGCGACAGCAGTGTGAGGATTCGCATCGCCCATCCTCGAAGAACTCCAGAGACGAGCAAAGCAGGGGACTTTAAAGGCTCTCGGTACAATCAATGAGTTTGGAGGACGAGAAGCAAGAAGGGGATTCAAGGGGGGAGATGGTTCCTCCCGGTAGCAGCAGCAACACCACCAGCAGCAGTGATGGTATGATCTCTTCTTCTTCTCTTTTTACTCTTCTTCTCGATCGATCGATCGATCTCCTTCCTAGCAGGCAGGACGAAGGAACGCGACTCCCCTGCTCGGCTACTTACTTGGAGTTCTTCGCTGGTGGCACTGGCATTTGGATTGGAGGTAAGTCATTGTTTTTTCCTTCTTTTTCCTTTCTCGGTTCTAGAAGTTATGCTCAACTAAATCCCTCCTCCCACCATAGCTCTTGTTCCTCGTCTTCCACTTCCATTTTCAGTGCTTCCACTCAGCATGATTCAAGCAACGCACAAATCACTCACCACACTGCCACTACTTCTCACCTCCTACACCCTGTAGACTTTACCAAACGAACACCCAGTAAAAGATAAAAATAGCAGGATTTCTACTTTAGCCCAGGTGAAAAAAAAGCTCCAAAGCCTTATCATACGCGCTCATTAACTACGTGTCAGGATACTACACCCACCCCATTCATCCATCCAGAGAGAGAGTATTTGGGCATCTTTGGGCATCCAACGCTTTCCATGTGATGGCATATTCCCCACCGCGGCGCGCTGCCAATTGGCTGCTGCTCGGCTTGAATGTGGTATATTCGACTGGATATTTACGTTGGAGCCCTAAAGGGATATTCTGACCTAGAATAGAAACAGGGGAAGCGATGGAGCTTCGTGAATTCGTCGATTTCTCAGTCCAGGGTGAGGATTCCTATGATCTTCCAGCGAGTGCTGATGCTGCTGCTGGAACCCAAGAATTTCCTAGCTCCTTCGAGCGTGATCTTCACCTTGAATCGCCGGTGGTTTCGCCGGATCGTCACGGAGAGATCCAATGCAGCCCCAGTCTCGACGACCGATGCGCGCGCTGCTTCTCCATGGCTCTTGGCATCCAAGAGCAGCGAGAGACCCGTTGCCACGGCCACCATTGTTGATTTCTTCGTCTTCTTCGTTTCCGCCATAGCCAAGGCTAAGAGAGAAGCTACAATGGTACCATCTTACAGAAATCTTTCTTTCACGAATCCTTCGATAGCGCGGCCTCGCGGAAAAGCTTGTGATCTTCGAAGTTCCTGCGCTAGCCACCGCTCGTTTTGATGCTGCTTTGAGAGCGCAACAATAGAAAAAAGTGGAAGAATCGAGCTGTATGAAACAAATGCCTAAAAAGATGGCTGTGATTGGACCGCACTCCCAGGCATATATTCTTCGATTTGCTAGAAGCTTCCAAATCGACAGATTAAAACACCAAAGAGCAATGCCCTTAGCAAAACAGATTTCGAACGAGGAGCTTTTACTCACGAAAAATGGTTGCAAAGCCGCTGCAGCCAAGGCTCGCTTTTCACGCATTCTCCAAGCAATCCGATGGAATAAATGATTGGAATGAAAAAACCAAGTAGAAAAGTAGAACAACATTGGAAGTAGATCAAACACTTGGTGGATCACCTCGCGAGTCACAGATAGCATCGAGTGTTTTTGCCAAAAGAAGGATGCTGCGAGAATAGTTTCAACGCAGATCATGTCTTTTCCAAAGTTCTGAACAAACCGCCCCCGTCAGCTTTCTAAATGCCAGCGAAAGGAAATTTTTCTGGAGAGCTTTAGACATGAGATCCATTTTTCTCTACCTTCGTCATTCGTGACTCTTCCAGCAGCATGAAGAGAAGATAAACTACTGATCCCAAAAGTAAACGAGATCAATTGCTTAGTGATATCAACCAAAAGACTACGCAAGATCTAAAATGAGCCAAGAGTAATGCCTCAATGGTCCTTGGATTGAAACAGAGCCTGAGCCAGAAGCCATGACATGATGAACGTATTGGCTTGCGCTCCGCATTGATGTCGTTTCAGTTTCTCTTTGAAGCGCACAACCAAGGCGAAGTGGCGACCAGCACTCGAGAAACTTTACATTTTCTGCTCCTCCCTCCCTCTAAACTGAGATTTGTGAGGCTGATGGGGGTGCGGACCAAGAGCCTTGATTCTTTGAAATACCTATACATCTCTCGGGATCCCTTCCCCTCTTGTTTTCCAGCCGGCTAGGAGAGAGACGCCAAGTTTAGTGTGCATGACTGTGAAGCATATAAAATCAAAACAATGGCATTAATTGGTGCAAAGACAACCAGGAAGTGTTTAGGAAAGTTTATAAATTGTAAAAATGTTTATAAATTATAAATACGGTATTAATTTAAATGAATAACAACTGCATATATATTTTAAATATATCCACTCGGTTTGCTTAAGCAAATAAAAAATTTCCTCAAAATATAATGTCAATCTTAAAGAAGTGTTACTAAAGCAAGGATTTGGAGCCCAAGTGTAAGTTGTGTGGCAATATAAAGAAGAAATTTGTCATTACACACCTAAGGATTTGGAGGCTTGCATCAACACCATGGCCTAGATTCATTTCCCCTCTAGAACAAGATAATGGAGTGGACTCAGGAGGAAAGTTTTGGATGTTATGCCGAGAGAGGCCAAGGATCAATTGACACTCTAGAACATACTATAGGGATTTTGCAAAAGAAAGCAAACTTATCTATATTTTTAAAAACCATAAGTCAAGAACAAGAGGAGTGTTGGAGGTATCCTTTTACCCCTAGTGTCTAGACAAACCCCAAAAACTTGTATTATTATAACAAAAGGTATTCCACCCTTCAGTGTGCAGGGCATTGCCGAAAGAGCTTCACACCCTGATCAATTTCTAAAGTTGTGTCTCTGTCCCTCTGCCTTTCGATACGATACTGTATCCCAAATGCATTGAGCACAACTTCCACAATGCCATACCAGTGTTGCCGATCATACAGTTGATCCAAAACAGATCGAGACATGTCGAAAACACTGGTTAGCATGTCATCAAATGGGTACACAAGCCGGTTTGACGGAACCGAGCATATTCCACCCGCGGCATCTTCACGCCATATCTGGTTTGTCACCCGGACCTCCACCCACACCCGCACATTTCCTGCAAGCGTAGCCACCCATGTGATGGGCTGCCCTACTCTCACCTGGTGCAGACGCAGGTCCCGTACACGTTGGATAATTTCGGCCATGAGTTCTCTCACTTGCTCTACAGTGAGCAAGTCATATCCGAGCAAATACCTAAACAACCCTTGCTGTGGAGCAGGTGGGGGTGCACTGCAAGTATAAACCATTGCCAAGAGAAAGATCATCAAACTAGGGAGCTTTATCATTGGAAATCCAAGAAAATAGAAAATAGAATTGTAGTGATGTATTGCTATTACTATTATTATCGATACAATATAAATATATATATAGATAGATAGATAGATAGAATATAGACAAATAACACTTCCTAGCAAACCAAAAGAGAAACCAAACTTTTGATTTTTATTTTGGTTTGATAGGATGTGTTATTTGTCTAAAATTCTATAGTAACAATAATAACATTAAATATTTTCTGTTTTTAGTAGCATTTGCATTACATTTACTAGTTTTTTTTTTTTTTTTGTTTGTGTGTTTATTCCCTTGAAGCACATTTTGTATGATTTTGTCATCTACAATTTTGAGAGTGTGATGAAATTTGGTATTTATTGTTCAAATTCCTTAATTTAAGTCGTATATGTACATAACTTCTAATATTTCATTATTAAATGTGAATGCATTGAGGAATGTTTAATTTGTCTAACTATTTCTCTAAATGATTTCGCATGCATCAGAAGTTTGTTTTAATGAATCCTAGCCTAGATCAACTAGTGTCTAGAAATTTGAATTAAAAGCTTTAGTTAGAGATGTAAATTAATTAATCTATTCCAAGTGCCATTGAGACCATAAATGAAATTAGTAAAAGCTGGAAAGCTATAAGCACAAGATGAATTTTTGCCATTGTACTATGAATTTTTAGTTTCTAGGATGGTGGCTTTTATATAAGAGGGTAATAATATATAATCATTTAGCTGACTAAATATTAATTTGATTTTTTAAACTTCATCTATAATGCAAGGTAGTTTCATTATATTAATTTTTAGCTTTAAGCTTGATTTCTTTGAAGCCCATTAAGTTTGGCAAACCTGCACCACTAATCCAAATTTATATGATAATTATAACATATTTAATAAAATTTTTATTTTATTTTATTTTGAGCACATCTTCAATTCATCAGATCTGGTGATAAAGATCTAGTTATCACGCTGAAAAGTTTCCAGGCTATTGTGATGATAACTTGAGAATAAATAAATTGAGATTTAATATAAAAATAGAAGCTAGAAGTCTAATCCTAAAAACATAAATTGATAAATAAAAAAAAATCTCTTAGACCCTGATATGGTTTCATTCAGGTGAAGACACTTCAAAAGTATTATGCATAAATGAGATACATTGTTACTAAAGTCTTACTCTCAAGTAATAACTTCTTTTCCACATCTTCTCCCCAAAAAGATGAGAAAACCTAAGTTTGGTGGAACATTCTAACCAACTTATAGGTTTACATTTTGTTTTCCTTTTTCTAAAGCTTGATTAAGATAGCTTTTACTTTATATTCTATTCAAAGGACCATTTAGATTGTCTGCAAAAGAACTCCATACATCATTGAAACCACAATAGCTTGTCCCCAGCCACCTATCCTTCCATTGTATCCCAATATTACACAGTTATGCTTTTGTTGTTCTGAAGTGTTATGGTATATTACTTAGCATCATTTGAAAAAATATTGTTGTCAACGAACCAAATCTACAGGAAGTTGGTTGCTGTTTATTATGGGTCATCCCTTGGATAGAGTCATGGAATTTTAACAAGCACTTCAAACAGCTATATGCAAGCAAAGGATTGAGATATGAAAGAATGTGGGGAGAGTTATGAGAGTTTTGCCTGTGAAGATGCCATTGCCAAGTGTTTGGCTTCTTTTTGCAAGAGTCTTCCCACATTTTAGTATGAACCCTAAATTTTTTTTATTTGTAGTGATACTTTAGAGTATTTATAATTATTATTTATAATAATAATAATAATAATTTTTTATTATAATTTATTCTTTACAAGAGCATTATTCTTTACAAGAACTTTGGTTGGGTGCTACCACTCACCAAATATTTACCATATAGTGTTTGTTTTTCTTCTTATTCTTATATATTAACTTAAAGTATAGTTTATTGTGGTGGGACTACCTCTTTCTAAGTGTGTGATGATTTTATTAATATCACATTTTTCTCCTTGAAATAAATCTTTCATAAGTGTTTTCATAATATAATAGGTAAGTCATTTTTTATTGAAGCTGCTAGTTGCAAAATATTGAATAATTTCCTGTATTGATTCTATGGTGATTTGAGTTTTGTCATACTTGAAAGTTCCTTCTGTCATGGCATACATTATCATAAGTTTTTGACCAATGGTTTTTTCTTTAATCTCCAGAAAGTCTAAAGGATAGAGTTATATATATATAAAGATGTATCTCTAAGTATAATTTTTCTTGCTTGTAGTCCATTTATAAGAATAAGATCATTTATGTATTTAGATGTGTCAGAATTGTTTTAGCATATCTAGATTAAGTTGTCGCAAGTTTTGCAACAATACTATATTTGTAAAGAATAACTATACAGGTGAGCAAGAGAAGCCTATGGGAATATCTACTAGTTATTTGTAAATTTATTTCCAAGCCTGACATGCATAGTAGTTATAAGTTATTTGCTTATATATTTGATTTTCTCTATAGTAAGCTTGCTTTATGGTTTCTGCCTTTATATCTTACATTTCCATTTATCATTAGCAAGCTTTCTAATATAAATTCTGGTTTTATTGGTAGGGAGGTTTTCCATCACTTTGTTAAAATTATATTTCTTTATGTATTTGTATACTTTTATAACATTTTGCAATATCTGCATTGAACAAATCAATTATATTGCTTCATAGCATTCATATATTTAAGTTTATATCTTTTTAGATAAATGTATATTAATGTTGGTCAAGTTATTATTATTTATTTATAAAAACTAATTAATATTCTTAGCATATTTTTAATTTTTTTTAAAACTAATAACTTTTGAGTAGTGGAGTAGGGCGGCTCAAGGGTGGCCACTTCAGATTGCTTATCCCATACCATTTTTTAATGTCCCTTTCCAGCTGAATTACTATGGCATGACATTCAGATAGTATAACCTCAAATCTACATAAAAGCAGGCAGCTAACCATTTGAATGTTTTCTTATGTGCTTTATTAAGATATAAGAATCTTTTATAAGAATCTTATGGGTTTAGTCTGGATCAGTGTTTCAATGGCTTCATATAAATTCTGTTTTAAACTGGATGAGTTTCATGCAAAGATCATAAAATCAAGCCTTTGCAACCTTTTATATCCCTCATTACGGTATTGCTAATAAATCTAGGGTTGTTAGCAGCCTTATCCAGTCCTCTGTAAGTAAATTGCATATTCTCTGCTTTTAAGTATGGTTAACTTTAGTCACATTGAATTTTATATAATATACAAATTTATAAAAATTCATGGTCCAACTTACAAGAGCCATTCCAAAGAGGCCTGTACCACACCAAGCCCAGTCTTCAGGAAGTCTCATTGGCCAATATGACTTCCTTCCATTTTGTGTGTTTTCTTCTTTTTATTCAATGGTGTAGGTGGAATATGGTTTAAGCCATGACTCATTTCTAGTGGCATGCTTTTAGCATGAATAATTTTAGTATCAGTAGTGACTGTGTTTAAAATTGTTATCAATGAATTCCTTAAATCGATTGTACTTCACATGTTTTTTCCAGCTCGGAATCATCCACCTCTTGTGGTTTATACCACATGTTCTTTATATTCGAGTAATATCTCCCGCTTAAACACAGTCAGTCGCAATGGGTTCAATTTCTGGTCTGCATACTGCCATCAAGTTATCCATGAAAATATGAGGTGCACATATTTTCTCAAAGTGCCTATTGTGATAAGTAAGATGTACAACCATGTCTATACTTTTTTCTTGTCTTACTATTAATGTAATCTTCCATCTTTCTTGAGCAAATGTCGTGACAGTCCAGTTTGCTCATGTTCCATGTCATTTGGTTTGGCCTCGCAAATTGCCATATCTCTCTGTCATTTGTAGTTTGGAGCTGAAGAAGTCCTCCATATGGATTTGTCTATTATTCTATAGTCATAGAAAGTGATCAGTCGACCAGGAGAAAATCTCAGTATGTTACCTACTTATATTAAGACTGTATAGTTCTCTGTCACCTTGACAAAACTGAAAAAGAGATTGATGCTACTAGCACCACGTACCCTTCGAGAAAGTTCTGGATAGTAGCTTTATAAGTTTCAGAAAAACTTATGCTGCCACCCTTAAGTTTAAGGTGTTAGCCATAGAAAATATCATATAAATCTAAGTAGATCGTGATTTGCCATGTTTCTTCCACGCTGTGCTCATGGCTGATGAGGAGACGACAGTCCCAATGAGGGGGATAGGTGGACTATCACTGGTTATGGATCGTAAGTTGCGTGGAGGTGTTGCAAAACCTCCACGCCCATTGTCTCGTCTTTACGTGGGATATTGACCATGATCTGATTTCGATGTCTTGGGTACGATCATTCATCCGCCAAAACTCCGCAAATCCTTGAAGAACGTCCGCCGAATTCGGTATAACGTCTAGGTAAACCTGGGATGGTTTATCCATAGTCGGCATGCTGCGCATGAAGAGTGGTGGCAGCAGGAGAAATGTATTTTGCAGCTGAGCTATCTTTGTAGTGGTGCCAGTGGTCTCTCTGTAAGAGGATGAGCGTTGCAAATTTTTCGGCCAATTCTATCATCTCCTCAGGAAGATCAGATGATAGCATGATCAAAACCAGCTCGGCCGAACCAGCCCATAATGCCGATATAAATGGGTGCAGAGTTGCATTGTGTGGAACATGCTTAGATTTATGTGGGACTAAAAGATCACCACTGTGCCGATATAAATGGGTGCAGAGTTGCATTGTGTGGAACATGCTTAGATTTATGTGGGACTAAAAGATCACCACTGATGTTCTGTCATATGATATGAGATGTTGCTTCAAAGGAAGGGGCTAACATATCTAGGGCCTAAACATATTAGGTGTTGGTATCAAGTGCTTGATATATGGACATTACTAATTAGATGATGAGGCATTTAGTTACTTTAAGAGAGTCATAATTACTCCTACTGCTTATCCACGCTTGGTTGAATTTCTTCACTTTAACATTTACACCACTGGGCAGAAATCACATTGCATCAACATCCACAAGAACCATTGTAATGCTTTGTTTTAATTAAACAGTCAGATTCCCCTTGTCCATTCCAGTTTTGAGTTGATTGTTCGATGCCTAGGGAATGTGGGGAGGGGCATTTTGCATCTGTCACCATTTGGTACTACGAGTTTTGGTATGATCACAATACACCATATAAGAAAACAAACACAGTTGTAGCATTACATCATACAAGAAGACAGAGGAGAAAAATCTACATTGTCTGTATGAAAAACTTAACTTGTCTGTCACCTAACATTACAATTGTATCATTTTACTCTTTTACAAATCCTTCAATCGATCTCTAGCGCGGCCTTGCGAAAAAGCTTGTGATCTTAGAAGTTCCTGCGCTAGCCGCTGGTACTTTCTTCGTCTTTTTGTTGCTGGAGGTGGAGCTTTGCTTGGCCTGAAAGTGCAACGAAAGAAAGAAAAAATTGTGAAGTGTTAAGTTGTGTCGTCCGAATCTAGATGTAAGAAACAAAGACCGAGGCCTAAACGCTTACGCGAAATGGTTGTGATGGGACCACACTCCCAGGCATAGATGCTTTCTTCGATCTGCTACAAGCTTCCAAATCGACCCTTTGGGCAAATTATAAAAACAATGAGTTTCTTTCAGCAAAAACGTTTCGAACGAGGAGATTTTACTCACGAGAAATGGTTGCAAAGCCGCTGCAGCCAAGGCTCGCTTTTCACGTATTCTCCAAGCAATCCAATGGAATAAATCTCTGAGGTGAAACACACACACACACACGAAACTCCCGTGAAAATGAGCAGAAATCACTGTGCTTACTGAGTTCGTGATCTTCAAGGCCTTGAAAACCATGAAGTTTTAATGCTTCTGACGTCTGCTCTACCTACAAACAAAGCTTTAAGAAGAGATTCGTGCAAAGAAAAAAGCAACAAAATATTTAAGATATCTTTACCTTACAAGAAAGCCATCCCAGAACCTTGTTATCGTTCAGTCTGTAGTACCTCGTCTCTTGTAGCTCTAGAGAATCGATCAATAAAAAAAAAACAAATAGGAAAGTATAAAACACTTGGTGGAATACCTCGAGAGTCACAGATAGCATCGAGTGTTCCAGGCAAAAGTGGGATGATGCGAGAATAGCAAGGAAAGTTTTCAACGTAGATCATGTCCTCCAACGTTCTGAACAAGCCGCCCTCGTCAGCTTTCTAAATGGCAGCAAAAGAGAATTTCTCGGAACAGCTTTAGACACGAACTCCATTTTTCTCTACCTTTGTCATTCGTGACTCTTCCAGCAGCGGTAAAACCATGAAGAGAGGATCGACCACCGATCCCAAATACAAGCTTCCATCTGAAATGGATGTGAAAGAAGTTAGTGGAAAATCGAGAGTTTGAAAGCGAGATCTTAAACCTTCACACACTGAGTCTCCGATAAACCAAGAAGAATAACGAGGCTTGAACCAGTTGAGTTCTTGGAGAGTTCCATTTATCAAAAGATAACAAGCTTTAGTCCCTGGAAAGAACAAATATAAGATTTCGCGCTCGGAAAAAAACGAAAAAGTTGTCATACACTTACCAGACTTCGGGTGTCGAAGATGAACAAAAGACCCATCGATTTGCTCATCTGCATTGGTTTTTTCGCGAGGTGAGTTCTAAAATCTTGGAGGAAACCTTCGTTCTAGATGTCGCTCTTACCAGCATTTGGATGAACAAGAGACCCATTTAATTGCTCCTCTGAAACGATAGAAAAAAAAAGTTTTGCGAGATAAGAGCTCCAAAATTCAAAACCTCTTTTTCGTGCCTAGGCAAAGAGAAATCGTACCTGATGGAGAGGAATAGGCAGTGACGAGAACGCGCAGCTCTGGCGCCATCGCTAAATAAGAAAAAGAGAATGCGAAGAGCTTTCGATCATCAAGGATGCGCCATAGCAATGGCTCCGTTTTGCCGCCTCCTTGATCGGACGGCCAAGCGTCGTCCACGTGGCAACAGACGATCAAGGGAGAAAAGCGTAAAAACCTAATGCTTGTGATCGCGAAGATTGGCGAGCTGGGAGGCGCGGCGCGCCCTTGGCGCCGGCGGAGAAGCGATTAATCGACCGAATCGCCAGGTGCTGTCACAGATTTTTCTAGGTTTCTAGCGCTTAGAACTGGCGGCAATGCGGGATTTGAGCCGCGGGAACAAAAATCCTTGAGCTTCTTCTGCCGATCGGGGCCATGGAAGAGGAGGAGGACAATGCCGAGCTCGTGGGAAGATCGGTGAGGAAGTATTTCCAGGGGCATGGATATTTCGGTGGGACAGTGGTGGCCTATGACAAATCGAGCAAATATTTCAGGGTGAAGTACGCCGACGGGGACAGGGAGGAGGTGGAGCTCCATGAGCTTCGGGAAATTCTCGTAGATTGTGGCAGTGACAGTGGTGCTCCTCCAAAGCGTTCCAGAGGACGTCCGAGGAAAATCGCGGACGCTAATGGAACAAATGGGGAGCTTATCCAAGCGATGAATTATAAGGACCTTGTTGCCTGGGAGGTTGCCAAGGCTTTGAAGAGGCATCGGCCGGAAAGCGAGCCAGGAAAAAGACCCAGAGGCAGGCCCAGGAAGAAGCCTCGTCAAGAAGAAAAAGTGCTCGAGAAAGAGGAAGAAACGAAGGAGGAAGGGCAGGAAACTAAAGAAGAAGAAACCAAAATTTTGGAGAAGGACGAAGAAGAGAAGAACAAGCCTCTCAAGCCTGTAGCTCACCGGAGAAAATCAAGCTTAGCTGATAGAGAGTATCCGCTGAGACTCCAGCAAAGGAGAAAACAGGAAGAGCAAGTGATGGACAGGATTAAAGTTGACGACGGTGCTGAGAGAAAACAGAAAGAGCAAGTGATGGACAGGGTTAAAGTTGACGGGGGTCCTGCTGCTAGAGAGGAAGTAGAGTGCCACAAGACGGAGGAAACGGACTTAAACGTTCCCGCGTTGCCGCCAAGTTCAGTGAACTTAAACATCCCGACAGAGTCTGTTTTTCATCTCTTTTCGGCTTTCACCTTTCTCCGGTCGTTCAGCTGGGTGATCTTCCTGAGCCCGTTTTCGCTTCAACAATTTATTTGCTGCTTGACACTGAAGGAGGCCAATCCTCTCGTCGATCAGATTCACTTGAGTTTACTTGTTCTGCTAAGGCAGCATCTCGAAAGCTTAGCCAGCGATGGTATTGAGTCAGCAATCAACTGTCTGAGGTAATGCTTTGTTTCCTTACTTTTTTTTTTGCATAGTCTAGTTTTCGTTTTGTCGCAGGTGCCGTGATTGGACGTTGCTTGACGCAGTTGCATGGCCTTCGTACTTGATTGCTTACCTTGTCAACGGAAACTATAGAAAGGAAGGGAAGGAGAGGCTTTTAGACATCGGCATTCTTAGAAGGGAGTACTACGGGCTGGAGGTTGGGAGTAAGATAGATATACTCAGCTTTCTCTGCGACCGTGTACTGGATACGGATGAGGTTAGATCGGAGCTAGCAAAGAGAAGCAACGGGGACAGCGATTTGGATCCGTTAGTGAAGGCTAGTGTGGAAGATAGTTACTTGGAGCAGCCGACAAAGCGAGAGACGAGACGCTCACGGAAAAGTAGCCCGAGTGATACATCCGAGCTGGTTGATCCTCCAACGTCACACAGGACAGAACCGACAGAACAGAAACACACATCAGACTGGAACAGTGATGATTGTGTGCTTTGCGGGATGGACGGCAACCTCATCTGCTGTGATGGTTGTCCTGCTGCTTATCATTCTCGGTGTGTGGGAGTTTCCAAGAGTACTCTTCCTGAAGGAGACTGGTACTGTCCAGAGTGTACGCTTCAAAAGATCGCACTGGAAGGAACCAGGGCTCGGAAAGTCGTGAGGGGATTCGAGTGTTTTGGTATAGACACTTACAGGCGAAGATACATTGCAGCGTGTGAACATCTCTTTATGTAAGTTCTCATCTTTCAGTGACTACAGCTACTAATTTCATTCATTGCAGATCGGAATCTTCAAGTCTTGACTCCAGTTACGTATGCTATGGTCCTGGGGACATCTCCAGCGTTTTGGATCTTCTGGATTCAACTGGAGCTCTTTCTGCTAGCTTAAGAACAAGCATCATGCAGTGCTGGAACCTTTCTGAGGACTCGGCCCCGAAGAATGACGCTTTGTTAAGTCCGATCCAAGACACAATTTGCGTCCTCAACGGCTCAGCAGAAGATGAACTAGTCACAACGGACAAGCCGTTTGGCTCCTCAAAACTGAGCAGATGCACAGGGATGCACGAAAGTTTCTATGAAGCTAGCTCTTACATCAACCAGTATTCTCAAGGAGGACTATCGGCATTGGCAGCCTCCAACCTGGCCGAGAAATCAACAAACAGGCGTGCTGCAGTCCAGAAAACTCAGATTTTCGAGCAGATAAAGGCTTTTTCTCGGACACCTGTACAGTTCTATTGGCCCAGTTTGAAGAAGAAGCGTGCGGAAACTGCAAAGGACAGGTGCGGCTGGTGTTTCGCGTGCAAAAACCTCAGCAGGAAGAAGGGATGCCTCCTCAATACTGCAGCGGGGAAGCTTTGCGCGGGTGCAGCTATTGTCACTGGAGGATTACGGCTTATCAAGAAAGGCGTAAACCACCTTCCAGCTTTGATCGCATATGTATTGTACATGGAAGATCGCTTGTACGGCTTGCTGGGGGGATTATGGGAAAGCACCGACCAACGAAATCGCTGGAGGAGACGCCTTGACTGCGCGGCGCATGTTCATCAAGTGAAGTTTGGGTTACTTGAGGTGAAGTATATTTTTTGTACAGCATTTGTAGATGGACTGAATGTTTACGTTTGCTGCTGCACAGCTTGGATCAAGCCTGAGACCCTTGGCTCTTTCAAGAAACTGGTCGATATGTGCCGAGGACGCCCCCAGGCTGGGTACAGTAAACGGCAATGTTTTCGTATCCTCGCTGAAGAAAAGTGGTGGAAGGCGTCGAAAGAAAGTACAAGCCGATGATCCTATCAAGATATTTCCTGGCGGGGGTACTTGTGGCGTTCAATGGCGCCGAGGTGGTAAACTTGTGAGGAGGATTTTGGACTGGGAAACTCTTCCGGTTGCAGCGTTAAAACGGGCTGGTCGGCAAGGTTAGAACTTCCAATTTGGCTTTTCACTATGAAAATCACGTCATTTTTCTGCTTGCTGCAGGTGGCATAAGAAAAGTTCCTGGACTTATATATAATGATTATTTCGAGCTGCCTCGTAGAACTGTGCAATGTGCTTGGCTCGCGAGGGTGGAAGCTAGTTTTAGTGTATCAGAACTTGCGATACAGGTTCTACCCTTAGGAATTTACATTTCCGTGCTTGACCCCAGTTTGTGCAGGTCCGCTCTCTCGATGCTTTAATCAGATGGTCCGAACTCCTGGTCCCCGATGAAGTTAAAACCTCGTTCGGAGAATTTACCATACGGGAGAAAGCTATGGAAGATGATATTACCAAGTACCGAGTTGAGACGTCTAAAACGGAAGACGAGTTAACGGAGTCCTTGAAGCCTGACGTTGTGAACTGCGCTTCCAAGTTCGTGAAGGCACTTGCGGGAGAAGAGGGCGCCAGTACCAACAGTGTGTGGCTGCCGGAAACGGAAGTACCTTTGTGCTTGGTGAGGGAGTTCGAGGAAAAAAGGCGCCGCTTCATGCAGCCGAAAAAACCAGCAGCCGTCCGGAAGGGAGAAAGAGCTAGAGTTTCAAAGAGTACCAAGCTTAAAGCTATCCTCAACAGGTTTCATTCCAAGAAGAAGGCACTCAGGTGTGAACACTGCAATATGGATTTGGCTGCCAGGTACTGTACTTCCTTTCCAACTGTCAATAAGCTGACTCCATTTTGTATGTTGACACGCAGTGACACTGTGAGCTGCCAAGAGTGTCAAGGTACGCTTTCCTTTTCTTTTTCTATTATTCTGTGTATTGCTCTTCGATTTTAATTTTGCGACATGTTATAGGTGATTTTCATAAACAATGCTTGAGCGGAAAGACCGGCCTGTGCCAGAGCTGTTTCACCACGAAGCAAAGCACCAAAAGAAGCCGCAGATTGCTAGACACGGCAGAAGAATCTCCGCCAGAAGCAGCAGTGAAAGACAGACCGGTCCTGCTCGTTTACTCCCGAAGGAAGAAACTGGCCGTGACGGCCCCGGCAATTAGAGCCGCTGTGATCCGGAAGAGACGATCCAAGAGGCCCGGCAACACTAGCGGTGTGAGGTGGAAGCTGGACAAGAAGCTCACTTTCAGGCGCGACATGGTGGTGTATCCCGGCCAAAAGCTCGATGGGGGAGGCCTTCGCTGTGCGATTTGCGAGCAACCATACGACGCAAAGCTCTTGTATATCGGCTGTGAACACTGCCAAGGTACTCTCCCAAGCCATTTCTCGTCCTAGCTTTACTGACGATGGTTTCTTTCTCCTTCCTTTTGCTAGGGTGGTTCCATGGCAGAGCTGTTGGTATCACCTCGAGCAACATTGCTCGAGTTGACGCGTTTAAATGCCACAAGTGCCGCAAGAAGGGAAGTCCATACTGTCCTTTTACTCCCAAGACGAAGGAAAACGTTACGCCAGTGAGAGGAAGAGAAGACGTTGACAATGAGCGTGGCCTGCGTGGCCGTGGTGACAAGGCAAGTTTTTCTTATTCCCAGGATGACGATGAGGTACTAACAGAGATTGGGAATTGGTCTGGGGGAAAAGCAGTAGCTGATTGATCAGAAACTTGCAACAGTTTTGGACAAGGAAAATGCTGATCATTTTATCCTAAGAGAAACCAAACACTGTCTATTCATCGATTTAAATGAGAAGAGAATTTTTTAGAAGACTTTGTTGCCTTGCACCGACGCTCTAAGATTCCTTCGATAGATATTCTTCTTTTATTTTGTTTCGTCATGGGCTCACAAGTGTAAAGGTTCACAAAAACAAAAATACATAGGAACATCTCGTGTCACAATTCAGGAAACTTGGCATTCAATGATCCTTGATGTTCTTCGTTTGATATTGGCTGATCATCGCTCAAACTTGCGAGCGCTCGCAACCAAGCGTCCAGCTGAAATAGCACACACAAGAAAAGGAAGAAAAAAAAAAACAAACGAGAGGATTTTTTATGGGTGGTGATGATGGAAAAATTTTCGAGAAAGAGACGAGTGAATGAATGAATACCTGGTGCTCGTGTAATGTGGAACACTCGAGGCGGAGCCCATAGCACGTTGTGACATGAAACGCAAACCAGCTTTTATCGCCTGTATGGTGCTTGTCAGCTGGAATCTTTCCTGCTTCCACGATATCGTGCATCTGGATCGTAACTTGGGGCCTCAAGTCTGGGAAGAACACCACGTTTCGAACGAGCTCTTGTTTGTACAAAGAGATCACAACTTTATTACCGGTTGCTTGGAGGTAGAATCCGATGGTGGAGTTTTGGAAGACGAGAAATCTTTGCACCCAGTCATTCACGTCCGAGTCGTCGAGCGGAGGAGCTTCTTCTCCAGGCAACGGTGCCCATCTCTGGCAGCACCTAGCATGGAAGTTCGTCATCCATTCAGTCGAAGAACACAAAAAAAAAAGAAAAGAAAAAGAGAGAAAACAAAGAAAGAAAAAACTTTGAGATTTTCAATTACCAATCGAGTGAACAAGTAGCAAGCGATCTCAGCCGATCTCAGCAATGAATCCAAATGATCTAGTCTTTACACGGAGCGCAAATGGAAAAACCAAAAGAGAAAGAAAACGTTGCAACGACGAGACGTGAAGAAAGGAACTAGGTACCTGACTTGAAGCGTGGATTCGCGGATTTCTACGCCATGGATTTCGTCCTTGAGGGACGATACCTCTTGCTCAAGAACTGTCTGCCAAGCAAATCCCACTTCATTCCTTGAAAGAATCAAAGACAAACTCACTTGCTGGTTTCTCCGGAGGCTGAGAAAACTCCACAAATTCTTTCGAGCCGTGCCCAGCACGCCGCCACTGCTCTGGACAGCGCCTCTCATCGAAACCCAGCGCCGAAATAAATCTCTCTGCGGATCGCCAAGGAATTTTTCGGAGAAAGGAAGATCAAATAAGATCAACAAGAAAGAGAACAACTCTCTTCCCCCCTCTCGCCGCGCAGCGTCACAATCAAACGTTGGAACTCACTATTGGTCTCTAGTGCCTTAAGAGCCGTCGATTCCGCCCTTCACATCGTGGCCGTTCGCTCAGGATATTCCATGTTGTTAAGACAGGGATCAACAGTAATTACATTTTCATTGAATTTTGTTTTCTAACTTTTCTTCCGTGCATCACGACGATTGCACCAGTGGTAACTTCTTCCGCGTTTTATCGTGGTATAAATTCACGCTGTCAGGATCATCGGCTAAAGTCTGTAGAACATTTTCACCTCGCCAAACTTAGGGAAAAAAGAGCGAAAAATTTGATCCACTTACCATGTTTAAGAGCTTCAGCCCAGCGGCTTTGGTAAACTTGCGTCCAAACAAGAAGCACGGCCGAGGATCGCCAGCCACACTGCACCACTCCACTCGCCCCTCGGTCTCGAATTTGATGTTGTCAATGGCCTGGACGAGGCGAATCCAATCTCAGCTATGGTGGAGATCATGATATCTAATATCTGTGAGTGGAGTTTAGAGGGAAGATACTGACCTGGATCTCCCGGACTAGCTTCATCGATGCATCCGAGAAGGTGACTGGATGCCATCCTTGACGCTCCTTCCGCCGACCAGCGTACTTCCAAAGGCTATATGTCAAGGATCGACGCTCAAGTTCGTCGTCGAAACCTTTGATCTACAGTAACAACCAGCAAGACAATGGATTAGGACTGGCACGCAAATCGTAAAGAAGGTAAGTTTACCGAAAGAACGGTTTGGACGTAGTGCTCATCCGGCACACAGTTCCTTCCTGACTGCCTGTATGCACTCTGCCAAAACAAACAAACCAATTAACTCTACAAAAGGAAAGAACTTGGAAAGCTGTGCTTTACCACACTGTATTCCCTCCAAAACTCCGGCAATGCACCTCTCTACAAAGTTAATCATCTGAATCACACTAATGTAACAACGGAGCTATGAAACAACAAACCTTGCAATGGTCGCGAAAACGGAGAAAGATTTCCTGATCACGGGCTACTGCCTCCGCATGGTTGCGAAGAAGCACAAACCACTGGCATCCAAACATGGTGTTACCAAAGCATCTCGAATATCTACGGACGAACCTGTGATCCCTTTCTCCAGTTTGCTCTTGAGATGACTGGAGCCATCACGGGGTTGTATCTGTTTTCCTTTCGGTCTCTAAAACTGGGCATCACAGACAGGCACAACAACACCGTTTGTCAGCGGAAAATGGAAAAAGTTTGGTGGCTCACCTGTCTACAAAACTTTTAGGTGAAGCCATCAAATACTCGTATATGAAAGTAAAACTGTACAAGGGTACGCAACTGTAAAATCCAAGTTGTAAGCTTCTCTGGATACCGAAAAATCTACGCCATACCTCTCGGATAACAACAGAAATCTTTCGTTGCTGCTGTCTTCGAAAGCCTTGGCAAGCAATAAACGCTCCGCCTCTATCATGCTTGCTTCACCCCATTCGACCTGCGAGAAGAAACCAAAGAAGAGATAAAGATCGTGACAAGAATGTGGATCGATCGTACCAGAATGCTATTTGGCAACTGTCGATTGTAGAAGTAAATGCAATCAGTTGTTTCTTTATTGTACACAAACCCTGGCCTCGCGTGTATATAGACACTAAACTCTTGGTCTTTGGCACCCTGCAAAGAGAAGAACAAGAAAAAAAAAAAAGTGTTAGAACCGAGCGTTTCATCGCTCGAATTCACGAATTTCTCACCTCGAAGAAGCGCTGCCACAGGAAGTCAAGGGGCATTCGATTCCGGGCGAGAAAAAGAAACGCCAGCTTCGGTTTGATCTCCACGGAGAAACCCGGAAATCCCGACGGATCGGCGGCTTCTTCCTGGCGACGGATCGAGGAGGCGACACGAGATTTCAGCCACACGAGAAAGACTACCAGCGCCGCTATCCCAACTAAAGCTCCAATCCTCCATCGAGCGTGCGTCTTCCTCCTCATCCCTGGATCAAAATATTACGCTCAAGCTCGAGCTCGAGAGAAAGGAAGAAATTCTCGCGATCTCTCACGATCACTTACTTGGATCGGTGACGAAGGCGCAGGATCAGTTGGAATCGCATGACGTCTTCCGGCGACTTGGAAATCCGCGGAGAATTCCAGTGCTGCTGCCGGCCATGGCGATGGCGCGCCAGAAGAATCGATCGATATGGCGTCGCTCCCTACAGCAACATCTCCCCCTCTCCACTGTCGCTATCGCCGTCGTGACGCTCCAGCGGACGCATTGCTCCTCTGCCCTAGCCAGCGCCAGCGCCAGCGCGTCTCTCTCCTCCTCTTCTCTCTCCCACAATGTGGGCGGGGCCACTCCAAGCCACGAAAGCCGCGCATCCATGCCGTCGATTCCCGCCCCATCCATCGCTCGCACGTGGCGCTTTTGGCGGGGAACGTGACGAATCCACGGCTCACAGCCAAAGATCGAGACTCCTTTACTTTTCCGGCGGGACCCAAGTTTAAAATGCCGAATATGCTGTGCTGTGGCTTAAGCGAACCAAATATACTACCAGTTTAAACGGGGTGCTTTTGGGGCAACAGAACCGAATATGCTACTGGTTTAAACGGGGTGCTTTTAGGGCACCACTAACAGAACCGAATATGCTACTAGTTTAAATGGAGGGAATATGCTTCTGGAGTTGTCCTTGTCCCCTGGCAAATTGATTTCCTCGCTTCCAAGGCAATCCCTTCGCTTTCACGCTCCTCTTTCTTTTCCACTTTTCCTCGTCATGGTCTTCGTTTGAATGAATGAAATTTTAGCATTTTCTTTGCTTTGGCAGTGTTACTGTGAGAGAGAGATGGAGTGAGATCGAGAACGTCACATCCCACCAAAGTCGACCAAGACGACGACCATACCACCACCAACAAGCCCACCAACATCAATCGATCGAAAACGAAAAGCCCGGCCTCACTAAAACGAAGAAGAAAAGAATGGATCGTGTTCTCCGTGTTCTTACCGCCTGCCTGCCCGACTGACACTAGAACACCTCTCTCCCAGAATCCACATCCCAAAAAATATCTGCAAGCCGTGCTGGTCTACGCTTCGCTGCTACTCCACCCAAGCCTTGTGCATCAGATTCCAACCAATGCCGTGCTTCCCTTGTCTTCCTTTTTTTTCTTGGACCAGTAGCAGTAGTGCTGTGCGCTTTGTCGAACGATCCGTAGTATCCCAGGCAGTGCTAGTACCACCATGGCTCAGCTCAGCTCAGCATGGACTTTTCTTCTTCGGCATCTCGGCCAGGAGGGCGTACCAGCGCTGATTGATTGATGGCTTCGCTCGCTCTAGCCCGACCCGCATTGATAATTCCTGCTGCTTCTGCTGTTGCTGCTACTGTTGGTGGTGGTGGTGGTGTTGTTGCTGCTACACTTTACACGCTGCCAAAGCCTTTATCCATCACACTGACCGGGCCCATGGCTTTGTCCTGATAGCATCCTTTTTCGATCCCTTCTTTTCGTTCTTCCCGGCCCGGCCAGCGGACGAGCACTGAGCACCATTACTGCCTCTGCTTTGTAGTTACGAGCTGCTGTTGGCTTTGGCAAAATATGTATCGCCGCTCCTCTGCTGACACACTGCCATTCACCAGCTTTACATGCTAAGCATTCGCACGAAAAAACGAAAGCAAGCTTGACTTTTCATACCTCTCAAAGATCCCAAGTCGACGAGGAACGCGACGCATCCACCAAGCGGCTCTTTTTTTCTCTCTTTCCGCTCTGCTGATCCATCACGTCCTGTGCCGGGAAGTCGTGCTTCTCACGGGTCTCAATGGTGTCAAGTAGAAGTTCCAAGTGTTGCTGCCAGCCGCATGAAACGGCGACGAGGAATGCAAGTGGAAGTTGTCCCTGCTCGCCTCCCAAGGCCGTGCACGGTGGTGCTGCTGATTCCACCTAGCTTTACTCCCGGGCATGGGACTCGAGTGTAGACTCCACGAAGATCCATAGTCCCGGTAGTAGGCCGTGTACGAGGAATTCGTCGGGAACGCCGGAGATGGATGGAAGCGCTTTACTTCCGGTGCTGGAGACGAGGCATTCCAGGAGCTCTTCTCCTCGATGTCTCCCAAACTATCGTTGTCGACGTCGGCCTTGTTGTGCATGAACTTCCGGAGTGGAGTGCTCCACGCCTTTGGCCAGCTCGAATCTCTGGGAGGCTTTTGTCTTCCATTTACAGACCTCATGTTCGTCAAGCTCGGCTTGTGGTTGAAGTTGTAGTCGCCGTTCCCGGCCAGCGGCATCACCCGGCTCGTTCCATTCGCCTGGTGTTGCTGCTGCTGCTGCTCGCCACTCGCAAAAGCTTCTTCCTGCTCCAGCTTCGCGTTCGTGTCCACGGACAACGCCGAGTTCTTCTTCTTCCTGCCGAGACCTCTGAAAAACTTCTTTCTCTCCTTGAGCTCCCCTGACTTGAACACTCTCGGGTCTTTTGGATCCTTGGCTTTGCTCCGGATTCCAAACAGAGACGCGATCCACGAGCTCATGCGGTGCTGATCACCCTGCTGCTGCTGCTGCTTGCGGGAATCAATCTCCGGCCACGAAGAAGCCTTGTAGTGGCCTTTGGGCGTCTCGCAGAAGTCGAATTTGCAGCTCCCTTCGTTGAGCAAAAATCCACTGGGTGGCAAGGACTGATTCCCGTAGAGATCTTTCCCGCTGATAACCTTCTCCAGCGTCCGCGGCTTCCCCAAATCCAAGTTCCTCGCCTCTGGAAACCCACTCCTTTGCGGCCGAGAGCTCGACCAAGAATGCGTCCTCTGCAAGAAGGACGAAAACTTTGGCAGCGGCTCCACAGGTACCTCGACGCCATTGCGATGATAATCCGCCTCCGCTCGATCGGCCTCCATCATGGACGAGATTGAGGCGAGATTGCCACTCGCCCCATTCTCCTCCGGCGGCGGCGCCACTGAGGAATTGCTGTCGAAGGAGCATCGATGCGGCGGAGTGCCGCAGTGCTCCTCGATGCACAGCTGCTCCAGCCGCTCCCTGAGGCAGGCCGCGCATACTCCGACCTGGGAGAAGGCCGGATGCGTCCAGCAGCTCGCCTTCGTCATGAATCCCAAGAACCCTATCCTCGCCCAGCCTTGAAAATCTTAGATCCCAGACGCGAAGAGATAGAAATGGCTGCCCTGCCTGAGAATCAGAGCGTGAAAACTTATCTTTCGGGACGTGGCGCTCATCCGGCAGGAGAATTTCGAGTCAAAAATCTCCGGCCATCGCTGGCGCGCGTCGATCGATCGCCACGAGCACGAGCTCCTCCCTCTTTTTTCTCTTCGTTCTTCGCTTGTCACCAATAAAGGAGGAGAATGAGGGTGGGTCTTCCGGGACGGAAAGTCGGGCCAAGGACTTATTCCAATCTGACCGTTGACAGGCTGGACAAAAGTTTTCCCCGGCGGGAATGCGACAAGCGCCCGTCAGTCAATCAGCCTGTCGTCAAATAACGGCACCGTCAAGTTCCAAAGGATTAGGGTTACGTCTAAAGGCCAAAAATTTAATAACGAGTGTATGATTGGATCAACCATGACTGACAGTGGGTGGATTCATCAATGTGTCTATAGAGACTTCTTGTGCCATTCACACAACAACCTTACCAAATATCTTGACAACCACAGTGTATCAGAAATTTTTCTATGCTTTTTCGCCACCTTTCCTCTCAATATCAATCACGACATCAGTTAAACTACACACATCTGGATTGTCCGTGATCACATCGAAAATGACAAAGAGGAAAAAAAGCGTCAAACCAACGGCCGCGGCTCTGCCACGAGTCAAAATACCAGAGCGCCGCGTGGCCACGCCCACGACCTGGATCGAACCAACGATGCCCCTCGACTGGAACCTTCCGGGCGATGTCGTGACGAAGCTCTTGGAATCGCAGCTAACGTGTGACTAAAGCCACTGTCCATGTCCATTTTCTAAAAAGGCCCATAGTAGACAATGGAAAAATCACTCTTGCTCTTTACCTAGGTTTTTCTATAGCGCGGACGAGCGCGTCGAGAGAGAGGGAGAGAGGAGAGAGGAGAGAGATCCACAATATCGGCAATCGATCGCGCGAGCTCGGCGATGGCGCTCATACAGATCCCGGAGCACGACACCGGTACGCCGCGATTGCGCCATGGCGGGGAGGAATTCGTGGATATTTCGAGCAGGGAATCGCAGCGCAGGGTTTCTTTCTCCAGCTTCTTGGCCAGGCAGGAGGAGGTCCAGCAGCTCCAGCTCGATGCCGCTGCGGCGGCGCCAATCGCGAGCAGTAGCGGCGATCAGCCCGCGGATTTCGAGTTTGTCCGGCCCAAATCCCCTCGCGGCGGCACCGATTCCACCGCATTTCCAGCCGACGAGCTCTTCTACGACGGCAAGATGCTGCCATTGGAGCCCATGTCTAGGATGGCCATGGTGAAGGATCTCAACACGCTGAGAAGGGGGGGATCCGCGCCGCCCAGCCCCTACTTTAGCAGCTCGGGCAGTGCCAAGGCGCCCACGACCCAGAAGTCGTCGTCCTATCCTCCCCGGGGGAGAAGCTCGAGGCGATTCAAGGATTTCTTCTTCGTGGCGTTAAAGAAAAGCCACAGCACGCCTCCAATTTCGCCTCCTCCTCCTCCTCCTCCTTCATCAAAGCCTGCGTCATCGAGCTCCAATCTTCTCCGAAACATCTTTTTTGGGAGGAAGGAATCATCGTCATCGCCATCGCCATCGCCAGCACCAACTTCTTCCAGGGCCGCTCAAGCCCAAGTTGGCGATCACCATAACCAACACCACCACCACTCCAAGAGCAAGCAGCAGCAGCAGCAAAGGAAGAACAGGGCGATTGCCAGCTTCTTCCCACCATCGCCATCCTTGGCGATGGACATGAATTTCACGAGGAGCGCTCCCGCGACTCCCCTGCATCACAGGGCAAGCGGCGGTGGATTCGTGCCAGTTCTTCACGTCCCGGCTTGCATTGGCCCAGCAAAAGTCTCCAAATTCTTCTCTGGATCTACAAACAAGACTGTAGAAGTTTTCATGTGATTGCTGCAAAACAAAGAGAAAAGAATCTCTGTGACAACCAAAGCATACTCCAAAAAACTATTTCTCAGAGTAAAAAAAAAAAAAAATTGATTTTGTAAAAAGGTAATATTTACAACTACAAGAGAACTTGTCTACAAATCTCCAAGAATCAAACATGCTCCTTTTTTGTCCAATCTTTGCAAGACTTTATACAGGTTTCCAGAGAGACATGCTTGACTTTCAACACATCATTTCTAGAAGCTCACATCCAATATTATCAACCATAGAAGGATTCCACACAACATTCTTCTTAGGATTTTTAAGGTTCTGAGCCACTGTACACTTCACATGACTGTTAGGTGAATTACCAAGCTCAAAAAAAAACAAAAACAAGGAGAAAAAAGAAAGCAGTCAGAGAGGGTAAAAAAAAGGAGAAAAAAGAAAAGCAGTCAGAGAGAGAAAAAAAAAGGAAGAAAAAAAAAACAGAGAGGAGTTCTTGCAAGGATCATGTTGCATGATGTCCCTTCTGGAGCTGTCTGTAGGTGGTATAGTCACCCCTAAAAATCTCTTTTCTTTAGTAACAGAAGATGCATACAAAAAACAAAGTTACACCATGTTGGGCTGCTTCCATTTATCCACTGCCACAGGACAACAAGATCAGCACATAGAAAAAAAAACACCAAGATTTTAAGAAGAATAGCTTACTTATGAGAGCTGTTCTTCAGCTGTCCTCCAGTTTCTAAGCTGCTGCTTCTTTACATTACATTTCTGAATTTCTTACTCTTCTTCAGCGTCGCTCTCGCTGGATTGACTTGAGAATCCCAGCTGCTGATTCGGGCGTGGCCATTACAGCCCGAGGTACGACTTTCATGGCCCCATTGTTTCCATTAAATCCTGCTCCACCCCCACCACCCTGTTGCTGCTGCTGTTCGTGCCTCTCCGATGGAGGGACGTACGAGAAAGGCAGCGAGTAACTGACCCCGTGCTGCTGGCGCTCGCCTTCAATCCACCTTTGTGTCATTTCGGGCCCTCTCTTCTCCTGCTGCTCCTGCTGCTGGAAGTGATGGTAGTCGGAGCTCTGAGCTATGGAGGACATGTCACTGTTGTGCGTGGAGCCGGGGAACTTCGGCTGCTGCTGCTGCTGCTGCTGCTGATACTGCTGCTGCTGCTGCCGCTGCTCTTGCTGGAGATCCATCGGGGACATGACCGTCGAGTTCGCCGACTTTGGAAGCTTTGAAGGTTGCGGTGTTTGTACCGAGGAGGAGTCGAAGAACTGCGGAGGAAAAGCGTACCAGCCGGAGGAGTGGACGCTTGGGTACATGGGCTGCTGCCAATAGACGGGCTGCATCTCGGCGGTTTGCATCCTTGGCGGGCGTGGAACCATCGGGAATAACTCGTAGCTTCCTGCGCCGTTGTGGAAGACTGGCTGGTATGCGGCACCGTAACCCGGTAGCATTTGAGCGGCGTTTGGCGGCGGCTGGAAGACGTAAGGCTGGCAGGAGGGCGGGAGCATCGCCCACTGGTTGCCAGCGGGGAAGGTGGCGTACCCCCAGGAGTTCGCGGCCCCCGGGAACGTTTGATAAGTCATGCCTTGGGTGGTGGTGGTGGAGCTCGAGTTCATCTCCGGCGGCGGCGGCGGCGGGGGCGGCGCTGGAGAGCTCGAGCATGTGTTTATGAGTGTTGCTGTTACAGCTGGTGGTGGTGGAGGAGCTTCTCGAGGAGAGATATCCGCTGGTGCTGTGGAGTATGATCTTTGCTGGCGGTGTTGGTCCTTGGGATTGTAGAGCGGCTTCGAGGCTTGAGCGGTGGTGAAGTTTGTTGTTTGATCTTTGTTAGATCCCCTGACTGCTACTGGAGGATGAGCTAACTGGCGTCCCTCCGCCGGCGTAGCAATCTCGTGCGTGATCGGCAGAGGTTGGGCTAGATGGAACCTGGCGTGATCGGGCTCTAGCAAGAGTTTTGGAGACTCGGCTAGCAAGTGTTGCACCTGCGAGAAAAACGGCTTAGAAAACACCACCTTTTGTACAAGAGCAATGAAAGAAGAGAAATTGGTGCTCTGTTTACCTTGACAACACGATGGAGCTCAAAAACCTGCGTTTCAAATATCCTTTGCTGCCTGCGAGTGAATGAAGTTCTCAACATCTAGACTAGACAAAAAGACTTTTTTACCTTAAGATCGTCTTGCGCGTCTTCCAAAACTCCTTCTCCCCGACGGCTCCAACAACGTCCCTTGCCGCGATCTTGCCGAACGGGTCGACGATGGAAGCGTTGGAATCCCCATCGCCGCTCACTTGCTCCTCGTGCAGCGACTGGAAGAAATCGTCGCTCTGGTTGTCCGAGCCTGCAGCACTCTCGCAGATATTGCTCGAGGATATGTGTTCCGTATGACCTTTGTGCGGAGAAATCACGCCCGGAGCAGCAGTAGCAGCAGCACCACCACCACCACCACGACCAGCAGCGGGAGCAGTAACACCGGCAACAGCAGCTGGAGAAGAAGAAACTCCAGCCGAAGATGGCACAGTCCTCTCCACGATCTCAGCTGCCGAGCTCTTGCTCGCATTCATCTCACTCCTCGTGTTGCTATGCTGCTGCTGCTGCTGCTTGCTACCACTGCCAGCTTCCACACCCTTGCCATCTTTCGGGAAGCAGTAAGTCGGCACGGCAAAGTCGTCCTCGTTCCTCACCCTCTTGTTCACGTTGGCGAGGGTGGCGTTGGCCATAGTGGTGTTCACGACGTTAGCGGTGGCGGCAGTGATGGTATTTGCGCTTGGATGTTGTTGTTGTTGTTGTTGGGACGAAGATTTTGCGCAGGGAACTGGTCGAGCAGCACAGGGGGTAGTAGGAGTAGCAGCATTTCCACCACCTCCAACTGGATTGTTCTCGTCCACGACTCGAGGAACTCTTTGCAGCTCCTTGTCGACCTCCGAGTCCATGACCATGCTCTTTTGGCTGCCGAGCGGCGCCCCCATGGATTGAGACGCTGTTCCTCCATCCGTGGAGCTGGCATGGTGGTGGAATGACAGCCCCGGAGGAGCGAAGCATGGTGTGAAGCAATTGCTGGCAAATGGTGCATACTGCAAGAGATCCAAACGATTTATCTTAAATACGTGCTCCCTGCAAAGTCATGACCAGAAAATCAGCTTCTAGCCATCACCTTTCATACTTCTCAGTTTTTTTTTTCTTCCTAGCAGCCTAGCTAGATCACAAGCAAACAAAAGCTCACAGCCAAATCCACGAAACCAAGAAAGAAACCGCGAAAGCAAACAAAAACTTCACGAAACCAAGCAAGAAATCGAGAAAGCAAACAAAAGCTTTAGCCAAATCCAAAAGAAAACAAAACCTTACAGCCAAATTCACGAGAAAAACGAGATTTTGGGAGTACCTGGGAAGCGTAGGCTGGATTCATGGGCGGCCACACCAATCCGGAGGTTTGCCTTTGGAGAAAATGCTGCGATGGAACCGTGAGCTGCTCGTAGAGCGCCATTTTGTTGCGAGGCGGCGCTTTGGGGCCATTCCTGGTGTCGCTAACGTGAACCCTGGGGAACAAGGGCTCTGCTACCGCGGCATTTGCCCTACTCTGCCCCTTGCCGTGGTGATTGCTATGGCTGCTACGGCTGCTCTCTCCCCGCCCTTCCCTCGAGCTCCCCTTGCTCGTCATCGGACGAATTCGACTCGATCTCAAGGGCGGACCATCACAAGATTGATCAGCGCGCGAGCGCGGATCTTTGCCCTATGGAAATTTGATCGATGGGGGGCACCAGAGTTACGGAGGAAGATCGATCGATGGCCGCCAGTGCCAAGAGCTAGAGAAGAGAGAATGGAGAGAGATGAGTGAGAGAGAAGGATCAACAAACTCGTTCCAATTGGCCACTGCCAAGATGGTACGGCAGTATTGTACGGACAAAGATATTTCGACGGCTTTTTGCGTGGAAAAAGCGCAGATATTATCGGCGACGGTGGCGATTCAAGCTACTGTCATCATCCATGTGGCCAGCTCACTGTCCACGTGGCCTGGGCCAATGGGAGTGCCCCAAAGGATTTCACATATCTACGAGGGCATATGCCACTTTCTGCCAAGATATTTTCTGGATTCACTACAACCGTGGATACAAAACAATCCTACGGCTCATGCTCTCGATTTCACCTTTAAAGGTGCAGATCCAAAGGAGTTTTTGAAGTGCCAATGCTGATTTTTCCTTAGAAACTTTATGTGTTGCACTAGTTCACATGGGAATTGGGATATAAAGGCATGCCACCACTGGCAGCTACATTAAGCATAATCTATCTTTTAGAGTGAAATATCTATCATAGTGTGGAACTTTCTGGGCTGCCAAATCGCAGTCGTCTAATGCGAGGTGGGTTATTTCTTTAACCACGTCTTAGCGAATAATTGTGCTGATGTTTGCTCTCAGCCAATGGAAGACGGCCAAGCTGCGTGGGGTGAGAGAAGAAGGCATTGCAACACGTGTCACATTCAAAGTGTTGATAACAAGCTCCACTAGCACCAAGACATCCTTTCTGGATGATCTATTTTGTCGAGTTCTCAATTTTTGAAAGGGTTCTCCAGCTTGGCCAGATCAAATGGCCACTTCCCAAACATGACACTCAAGTCCCGGCACAGTGATTCACCCAGTCCCTACTGCAGCACTTCTTTCCTCTCCTGCAAAGAGGAAACTTAATGAGGAGAGATTGACGAACTTCGATAGTTTTGCCCTTGGCACAATTTCATTTGAAGTGGTGCTTTTTAGGCAAGAAGAAATGTGAGAGGAAGAAAGAAGCTATGGCGACTCAGCAGCAGCAGCAGCAGCAGCAGCCACGCTGGTAAACCCTAGCACTCATCCTGGTAATCAGCAAGTAGCCATGTCCCAGCGCCCTGAATTGAAGAAAGGGAACGGATTTGACGAGCTTGGAGTGGTGGGAAGCTATGTCTCACCAAAGGTTGGCAGAGGAGGAGGAGATCCCAATAGAGCCAATGGTGATGCTGGAAGTCCCTATCCCATCCACTCCAGGAAAGAGTAAGCATAGTTTGATTTCTTCCTTTTTTCTTGGATTGTGTCTGTTTAGCAAAGAAGGCATAGATGTAGCATTGCTTGGGTGCTTGAGATAATTCACTCCAATTGGGAATAGCTTCCTTTTTGTGGAATAAAAAAAAATCTCATCAAGAGGAAAAAAAGAACAAATGCATAACACAATG